ACAGGCCTCTCTCATCTTTTTAAGTGGGAGAACTTGCACAATTGGTGGCTGACTAAATACTTTTTTGCCCCCTGTAAGTATGTAAATGAATGTATGTAATCTATCTGAAGACTTTTGTGGAAAAAAACCATAAGAACAATTTGTTCACTTTATACATGAAAGTTTTTTTATTGTTTATTTGCAATGATTACAAACTCATCTTAAAAAAGCAAAATGACTTTAAAATATTGATATCCATTTCATTTATCTAAAAAGCAAAACAGATAAAACTGCAAAATACAAACATTTACTGTGTACATATACCCCCTCCCCCCCCCAAAAAACCACCCTAATTTTCAGGGCTGAAGTACAAGCCAAATTCTTACTCCTATACAAATATTCCTCTCTGGAACAATAAAGATGACAAACAGTTTTAAAATGTCTTTTTAAAAAATTGTTCTAAAAATTATTTTTAAAAGGAGGATAATCTAGTGTCCTCTTAATCCACACTCATTAGTCAGTAGTCGTAAGTGTGGATTTACAGAATTAAAAATGCACACCAACATTTTCAGTAGAAATAAAGATGTCTGCCTTATTTTATAACCATAAAACCTCGGGTGGCATTCCTTTCATAATTGCAACAGCACAAATACAGTAATGACACAACAATGTTCTATTACAACAGTCAATTTATCAGAGTACTGCACTGGCAGGTTGAGGTTGTGGGGGAGAGATATCAATGAACAATCTTGGGCTGCCACTTGGTTCCTTACAATCCAAATGTCTCCATTCCTAGAACATGTTACAGCCACTCAACATGATCTGGCTGCGATGTCAGTGTCTGCACTGCTTTCCTGTTGCTGATCATTAGTGGGTCATTTGGGAGCTTGTTAGGCCTCTTTCTTCTCCCAAGAGAGCTTGTTAACTATGCAGTCTGGTTCTCCAAAGAATGGGATCTTCAGAAAGCCAGCTACTTTAGCCCACTTGGCTTCTGAAATGATCAGGACTCAGCAAATATAGCTGAACTAGACAACTTCTGTATGTACTCTGAGCCCAGCCAAACTGCAAGGTTGGGGTTCTAGCCCTAACCTTGGTTGCAGTGACTAGTCATAGTCATTGGAATGGAAGTTCCACTGAACATGGTGTAGCTTATTTGCAAGTACATGTTTAGAATGAGCCTGTAGATCTCTGGAGCAAGTATTCTCTTTGGCCAAACCTGCAGTGTATGTATTTTGAAATCTGCAAATGTCAACATCTATGTTTTAAGATAACCTATTTTTTGGGGGGGGTGTCAGATTTTATTCTAGAAAAATACTGATCTCCTCCAAAGATTTGGATCCAGTTGTGTGAAGCTAAGTTTCTGATGTAGTTCTACAGATAGAAACATACGTCTTAGCAGAATATTAGATTCGTAAAGTGCTTGGCCTTATTTTATTTCCTGAAAAGAGCATGCATATTGCATTTATCTTTTCCACCTCTCCTTCCGTAGCACAATCAAAGTAGTGTAGCTTAAATCAACTGCAGATTAGACAGGTCACTATTACTTTTAAACAGGATACAGAACTGGACATAGGCAGATGGAATATACTAATGCCAAATGAAAAATGGACTGTCATGTGATTGTCTAAAATTACATTTTCTCTGCCAAGTGGTTAGCCTTAAGAGTGCAACTCTCATTTTCAGCTGACCACTATAGACCTGCAAAACCCTTCCTTTACTTTATCAATATTCCCTACTGCTATGCACAAGATTTTGAATTCTATTGCTGGCTTTGCTGCTGGGCAGATTCAGGGAAGTAGACTGATGACTCAACTAGGTATTTGGTCAAATGTGTTGCATGAGCTGGGGTGTTCCTGCATTTCAATAGGTTTGTTTTTAGCAAGGTAAAGTAGCACTTCAGCTTAGGATGCATAAAAAACTTTTAAAAAGTGAGTTTCAATTTTGGATTGATCGCTCTTAACATTCAATAAAAAAATTGTGCCTCTGGGGCATATGATTGTCTTTCATGTATGACAATCATTTTTGGTTTATATTTATCCTTTAATCTGTAGCAATCATGCATTTAAAGAGTTTAAAGAGTAAGAGTGGCTGTATTAACTAAAAAAATTTGGTCTAGGCCCTCTTAACTAAAGTGAGCTATGACAGCTGTTTGTTTATGTATTTATTAAGCCAGCCCACTCCAAATGACTCTGGGGAGCTGACTTGTCAAAAAGGTCATAAATTCCAAAATGTTTCTAGCTTCTTCAAACTGTTTAGTTTTACAACACTGGTATTTACATGTTACCTCAGAAGCAGGTTTCACTTATTGTCCTAGTGCTTTACTTCCATGTAAATATGGAAGATTGCCAGGTGCATATAAAAGCAAAAAATGAAGCATGCCAGAATTTTAGGTTTTCTTCTATTAGAACCCATCTGTCCTCCAGTTCCTCCTCATCATTTCTTTATTCCTGCCTCTATGGCCATTCAACTGTTACAGATCAAATAATTTATTTCAACTCGTTTTTCAGCTGGGCTGATGCTTAGTCTGCCCAGTAAGTTCAGTTTCATTATAATCAAGTACAAATGTCTAAAGACAATATACTGTGAAATGTGAATGACTGTTAGTTATGTAATTATTTATCGATACCCTCCATATAGATACTTATTAAGGATGTTGACAGCTTGGAAGATTGGACTAAGAGAAGGACACATTTCCAGACATCTAAAGAGCCTGCCTTAGTTGGAAACAAGCCTGAACTGGCTGGTTGCAAACACAGGTATGTCCCACTGTTTTGACTAGACATTAGCAAATGCCCATTTACTGCTATCATAACCTTTTTTACTTCATTCATATCCAGAGCAGTTTAGAAAACATGCCACACTTCCATGACAACAAATTGTTACACTCTAATGTTCTTCCCAGTCCCCACCCCCACCTTTTTGGAAATGCAATGATTTCTTTGAAAAAAAAATTTAAACTATTCCCACCCCGCATATCCAAACCAGTTCACCAACAAGTTAGTCACAATACTGAATATTTAACTTCTTCATTACAAATGATGGATAAAATAGGCCACACAATTCTACAAAGTAAATTAGAAAAGAAAAGTCAGTCTTTTTGCAGTCATAAATAAGTAGAAAATACAAACAATTAATAATTTTCCTGTCCCCCACCCCCTCCCATCCATTGGCCTTATTTGGCAGAATCTATTCTTAACATTCAGATTTAACACATTCTATTATTCACAAGTTTTGCTATATGAAAATATGCTCCTTGAAACAAAAACCGAAGGGAAATGGGACTGAATCTTGTGCGGCAATTTGATTAATTTGTTTTTTCTTGTAAGAGATCTTCATGATTTTGGGTCATAACTAGAAAACCTGTTTTCTTTAGCGTGGAAGCAACTGATTCTAATTGCACAGTTTAACCTCAGAATGGATTGGGTACTATACTTCTTTAGCTGGAACTCTACAGGTGTAGGACTGATTCTCTGGTCTGTTCTTGAAGTGCATCCTCTCATACTATGGGCTTAAGAGTATTCCCCTGGTTGATGTATCTGCTTTTGGTTCAGTGGCTGTTCTTGAAACTATTCCTGTAGCAAAATATTGCACTACCTTTAATGTAAAAATGCACCAAGGGAAGTCAAGTGAATTAACTGTTAAGACTTGCCTCCATCCTAATTTCTCACGGCCTTCAATGACACCAGTGACTTGTGCTTCATTTAGTTAAGCTGCAGTCTGCTCTGGAATGCAATGGAGTTTGGAATACCAATGCCCTTCATCTTTGGCTTTGCAGGATTAGAGAACAAAGCCAAACAGCAGCTTTCTCTTGGCTTCCTTGCTTCTTCTGTAACTAACCTTTTTTACTGGCCATTATTCAGTACAGTGGAAAGACAAACATTTCCAAAGGATTTGTAATCTGGAAGTGTTTACTTTAGAGCTCTCGGTAACAGGAAAGCAAAAGCATTTGGATCATGGCCACTTGCATATACTGAAAGCTCTGTTCCCTCGCATAAAATAAATCACAGACCCCATCCACAAACAAATATTAGCTAAACAAGACACCTGAAATAACTGTTTTGGTCCTTTATTTAAAGTTCTTTTTGTTTCTATAAAAACTAACATAGCAGGCATGTGCATAATCCATATGCAATGGCCATGGAGAGCATAAGACACAAACTGTTTCTTACTTTCTTTTCTTTTCTTTTCTTTTCTTAAAGCATATAGGAATGTTTTCAAATACTGGCTAAGTTCCAGTTTCAACTACGGTGTCTGTCACTGACAGACAAAAATCAGCAGAAATTACAAATGAAAGTTTTTTGCTATTTCTGGCTCACAATCCTGCCCACATTGTGTTTAGTGCCAATACTAAGATAAAGGGGGGCACCCTTCCCCCAAGATCAATGCCCATACGGAAAAGGCTTGAGCCTCTATGCAATGCCAGTTGAAAGCAACAAAACGAGAGCTTTGTGGAGTTTGAGGTGAGTCTTCCAGACAGAAATCCTTATTCTGCAGAAAGTGGGGAACTTGGCATACCAATAAAACTCCCATTGAGTGTTTTATGCCTCATCCAGTCTAAAATAGATTTATAGCTTACGTCATCTCCTTCTGTTTCCTCGTGTCAATGTGTTACAAATGATGACAACTTAAGCCTGCGAATACCAGTCTACATACTGGACTCTTGCTCAACTTTCTTGTTGCAGTAGCTTCCTCAACAGTGGTTCTAGTGGCCATTTTCTGCATCTGCACTCAACGATATGCGACTTAGCTGACTGGTACGATACATGCCCAACACTCCTTTTTTTGTTCTGATAACGATAAAGTTTGGCAAATTTGTGATTTTAAATATGGTTTGCAGCATCCTTATAAATGTAGCATTTATGACACCAGCCTAATGTTCTAAGAAAATTCAAGCCTAAACAGCTTATTTCTTGGGTGCAGCCTATAAGAGTGGGCCATTTTTTATATTCTTCAGTTACTTGATCACACTGTCAAGTTACATTTCTCTCTTGAGGTAACAGGTGACAGATGCAGGCTTACTAGCATTTTACATCAACTCTTAGATGATCTGTCTAAATCGATGAGAAACTCAACTGTACTCCAATCTGTATCTAAGTCCACAAAGAAACTCTGCTTGCTATTGAATAGAGACTCAACTCCCCCTGTGATGGAAGGAGTCATCTCCTCTGCCCCAAAAAGGAATTATCAGTTAAAATATCTTGCCAGCAAGAATGATTCTGCCACCTTCTTAGAGCCTGTTCACAAGCTGCTCAGATTATTCCCCTGGTTCCAATCCCCAGCTTATATTGCAGCTTTTCCAATTATACACATAAATGTATTCTCACATGCCTCACAGCGAGCATAAAAACATGTACCCTTTCTTTAATTCTTCCTGCTTCAACCAGAGGAAGATAGTGCCACACCTTTAAAAACCAGTTTCTAAAATGCCAGAGCTTTTTGTTAAAAAAAAAATCCAAAATGAAATTTGCTTTACGAAGGGGTTATTTTGCTCTACCCTGTTCCCAACCACATCAACACCCAGAGAAATCTGAAACTTGTATATGTGCACATATATATGTGCGTATCAGCACAATCCTACATAAGTTTACCATTGTGTTCATTGAGGCGTATTTGCAAGACAGTGTGCATAGGATTGCAGCCTGGGTATATTGTTGGCAAGAAAATCAACTCAAAAGTGATAAAGTAGCATTATGAATAGAAGTTAGTTAGATATGCTGTGTGGAAAACAGAAAGTAAATTCCTGCAGTGTGCCTAATTTGATATGAAAGCTCTGCCTCTAAATAGAGCAGGGGAGGCATCTGCTGTGATTTACTTTACAAAATATTAAAAAATAAAAACCAAACACACAAAAAATTACTTTCTCTGTGAGAAATAAAAATAAACCCTAGTGCAAATATAAAGCTCTGTAAACCTGGTCCTATGAAAGATTCTATGGTTAGTAAACGGCAGTTTTAAAGCAGGTGTCCTCCTCTCATAGAGAGAGCTCACATCGTTGTCTCCACGATGACATGAGTCGGCTTGATCAGTTCTCCGTTGGCCAGGCCAGGAAGGCAGAACGTGGCAGCAATCTCTGTTTCTTTGTCCCACCGCGTGATCTCACGAGGGGCAGCCATTGCCTTCACCCTCTAGAGAGAAAAGGATACATGGAAATGAAGAGTCTTCCAGACAAATTCATGGAGGTTAAGGCTATACTAAGGGTTCAGGTTGTGATCTATTTTGGATTCAATAGGGAAGAGGCACTTAGAGATATAGAGAAGTTTGAACAAGGCAGTTGCCAACTGTTGCTTTTTCTAGGATCACACAGCCATGAAAAAGACATGTCTGCACATGGCCTGAAAAAGGGTAAGCTGCACACGGATGCTGCATTCCAAAGCATCTCTTCAAAACTGAATTACGTTTTGCACATATTACTAAGCATGATAGCTATTTGCCAGGGAATAGAATAAGACACATTATTGTCTTTCTTTGTAAGCCAAGAAGAACCATTTCAGTTTTATTAAAATAACTATTTTCAAATTGTTCTCTCTGTGAATTTCCCATTGTTATCTGACTGTCCATTAGGGGAAATAGAGTAAGAGGTTGGAGAGGCCATCAGTGTGGCCCATCAGGGCTTCCCTTAGTTTGTAATCACACACGTCAAATACCAGAAAGATTCTGATTCACATACTTAGTTAAGCCAAGATGTGATCATTATCAAGCAGTGTATTTATAGATGGTGCGACAACCAGTTGGACATGGTTTGTTCCCAAAAGCCACTGTCCACAACGTAACATTCCTGGGCTGGGATCAGAAAGCTGATCTTATTGCTGGGAAAGTATATAGTGTGTAAAAGAAGGGGGAGACAAAGTAGAGAAAGTAATGTAAGGAAGGAGGTTAAATTTCCACTAGATGGCTCCCCAATTCAGCATTGCAGCTAATGAAGTTAGCTACTTCCACACTGTGCATGATACTGATGAGATGCTCAACTTTTATGCAGTGCGCATGAGAGAGAGAGAAGACCACATATGCTACATGAGAATACCGCAGGACTCTTCGATCCTGGAAATCTTTTTGAAATCTATTATCAAAATTTCTGCTAACTTTTCTGTGACCCCATGGTAATAGTTAGGCTATGAGTAGCTTCTGTATAAGAGAGCCAGTTTGGTGTAGTGGTTAAAGGCACTGACTAGAAACTGGGAGTCTGTGACTTCTAGTCCAGCCCTAGGTGTGAAGCCAATGGGGTGACTTTGGGCCAGTCCCTCTCTCTCAGCCAAGGGCAAACCACTTCTGAAAAAAAATGTTGCCATGAAAACTGCATGACTTGTTCAGGAAGCTGAAAGGAAACAAGAATGACTTGAAGGCACAGAAAGTAAATCTATGAATAGCTTCTACAGGTATATAGCGGCATATTCTATATATTTTCTTTGCATGTTAATTTTATGATATTAAGTACTTGAGTATTTTTTCTGTAATGTTCTTTATATCAGGACAATATCTTAGGATATAGTGAAAAAGGCAGGCAAAGTGAACTGATTATTGGATGGGGATAGATTTTTAGATCATGGTCCTGCCTTGGGGTGACTTGCTATAGTATGCTACCTTTCAAAGACAAGTTTTCAACAAATAACAGGCATTTCCCCACTGTAGGATTTGGGACAAAGATGCTCCCAGGACTGAAAAAGTTGAAAGCCTCTGATTTAGGAAAATAACCTGGGACAGAAGGTTTAGAATTCTAGTGACACAAAACTAATTTGTTCATTCAGCATCACTCTCCTGAGTATATTCCATTTTCCAACTATCCAGCTGTTGGATTTGTATCAGCAATCTTTTCTAGTATGTGAATATGATCAAAAGACAGATGTTTAAAATGGTACTGAACCTTGTTCTGTTCAATAGAAGAATAGACTAATCATGTATCTAAACAACGCTTGTACAATAGTCTCATCTGTTGAAATGAATGATTGAGAACGTCTTTCCAGCTATTGGAACTGCTATGTTAAGGGATCAGGAAAACAGTTGCAAAGAAAATCATCTGTTTGGATGCTTAATAGTTCTGAGGGTTCATAGTTGTTTCGAATTTACCTCAAGGAGAGAGCCATCTGACTGCAAAATACGGACAACTGTAACCAAGGGGATGCAGATCATAGATGAAAGAGCAAGAATCCAACCCAGACCGATTGCCCACACAGGGTAGATGTAGACCTTGTTGTAGGTCAGGGGGGTATACTTGACCAGAGAAAAGATGAAGCACCCCTGTGTCAGGAAAAAAAAAAAAAAGCAAAAAAGAGAGAGAGACAGAGTCAAGACACACAGAAATAATTACACTTTCTTCAACCAACAGTTTACGTAGTGGATGAGCCACCAACAGCATTTCAAACACCTTTCTGTGGCTCCTGGAACCCTTTTAACTGTAATTGTTGAAAATCAACAGCATTTTTAGAGGGGAGAAATAGCTATGTAAACTCTAAAATAAATCAAACACCATTCTAAAAAATCCTTAAAACCCAAAGAAGAGTATAAAATCCTAGCTCCTCCCACTTTACTTCATCACCATATCTACTGTACCCTTAGTTCCCAAATATTGTTAAGGCCTACCCTGCTTTCATTTACATTAGCAGTGATTAGTCTAATGAAATAAAACTGAAATTGACAATAGACAATTTTTCAAGGACAGAAGAGTTTTTTTGTGTGTGAGGGGGGAGTCTCTTCTTTTCATTCCTAGGTCTTCATTGTCTTTTTGTCTGTGTACAGGTGGTTGTATTTCTTTAAAGTCTGGGACCTCTGAATGCCACCCCGCCCCCGGGGCAAAAGCTTAGGAATGAATAAAGCTTAAATGGTGAGGGAAAATGTTCATAAAACTGTACTTTAGAAACTCAGGGCTGTGCTACAAGAATTTCAAACAAGAAATCAGCTAATCCAGTTTTGTTCTCCTGGTTCCTTCAATATTCATGTTTCGTGTTTTGCAGCAAGTGTGAATAATTATGGTGTGCAGTAAAGCATGAAAATTAATTTGAGCAGCATTACCACACACCGCAAAGAAAAAAGATCTTTTATAGGTCCATAACAATGTTTATTTGTTTTTATACCATAACATGCCACCCGATCTGTTCAGCTGTTCTATTGCATTTGGGGGAGAGGACTTTTTGATAAATATGCATAGGTCTGCTGCCTGGCTGAGCTAAAAAAAGTAATAACTTGGGCCTTACGAATGCCAATGTCTTTAAAAACACACGCTTAGAACTCTTCTCAAATGCAATTTTTATATACAAACAGGCCATCTTTTGCCACAAATGACCCTAAGGTAGCTTTACAGCTATTAAAAAGTATGCTGCCATTTTAAATAACAGCTAGTAGGATAAAAGAAGCATAGCCATTAGTAAGATGATTAAAACATACAATTAAAAGAACTATCACAAAAAGCATGTAGTGATTGCGCTAAAAGCTTGACTACAGGTGCTTGCTTGCAGAACTGCCTTGTTTGCAGCACTGTTGCCTTGATTCCTGATCATCACTGAACGCCCCCCCTTCTTTCCCAAGGGTCTGCCAACCAGCCACCACTGCACATTTTTTGGTCCAGTGGATATAAATAGAATTTTGAGTGCTTGTAGTTGGCATTTTCACAGAAGGACCTCGTGGGTATTCCTACATTTGCAAAATGGCTACCACTGTGGTTTTCACCAACTAAAAAGTACCAATTTACTGTAAGACAAGCTAGCTTATAATAACAGCCACGATACTGTTTCTTCCCATGAGGATTGAATTCAAATTTCCAGATGTCCTTGCCACTCATATAATTTTTGCCCAGAAGTAGGCCTTTTCAAAACCCAGTCTTATCTCCAGTTTTGGAAGAGCTTATGATGCATTCCTTGCTGTGCCTGTCTTCCCTCCTCTCACACAGTGTATTTTTCAGCTAGGTGAAAGGTGATAGCAGGGAATGCTTTGTAGTTGTCCAACACCTTTTTACAAATGAACTATTTTCTCAGCTTTGGGAGGGGAATAATGGGATGCTTGGGCATTCCTACTTAAAATGAACGGGTTTTGCTTACTTCCGAAATATAATGAATACAGAAGGAAAATGTATTGAGAAGGGAGTTTCATAATGTGGGTGCTAACCGCAGAAAGGCTAATGTGGTGGCCATTTGCTTGATCTCAAAAGGGAAAGTGGCCCAAAAAAGGGCCTTTCAAGATTTTAATAGACAGACAGGTGACCTGGTGTCTGTGGGCACAGGCTGTTTGCCTCATCCGACTATTTTAGAAGATTCTTTTAATTCAGATATGGAAAGCGTCAGACATTCTTGATTCCAGAGTCCTCTAGGCATTTTTAGAAAACAAAAATGGTAGGTAGACACAGTGTAGTGTTTTGTTTGGAAACACCCCACCTATCTAGAAATGAATGAATGAATGAATGAATGAATGAATGAATGAATGAATGAATGATGATAATAAGAAACATCAAGAGTTTTCCTTATAGTACTTTGTCACTGGTCACCGCCACAGTGGCAGCCAATCTGCAAATGAAAGAATACCCACACAATCATGCTCTATGGATTCTAGCTACATGCTCTCAAAATTCTAAATTTTTCTCCACCCAAAAATTGCTCCAGGTCCTTTAATGCCAAAGGCAACATGTCAGATAAGGAAGCAAGTTAGAGGTCAATAAAAATCTTGTAATCAATGAAGAACTTACACATTAAATACATTGCACATTAAACATCTATCTATTCATTCTCATTTCTTTTCAGAAAATGCAAGGCGCAAAAAGCTAGCTAAGCTTACAAAAAAGTTCCAAATCAAGTTTTAGCAAAGACAGGTCAACACTTACCACGCAGAGAATTGGTGTGATTAAAATCCAGCTCCATTTCATCCAAGGACCAGGCCTGTAACCAATCATATCTTCAATGGCATCGTAAAAATTGTCAGCGCCTAGAGTTTCACCACAGAAGAAGGAAATTGTATTTATCTGCACATATTGCCTGTGTGTTCTTTATCCTTTCATCTACAGCTATGCTAAATTTTCAAGGAGAAAATGCATTTGCCCTATTAGGGGTGTGAAAAACCCCATAAAAACCTATGTCTTTTATCATTATGCTCTTTCTTCTTTATCCTCCTGAGCTTTGGTGTTTCCTTTAATTTACCTCTTTCTGTAGGTGATGCAACTAACCAGGTATCAGGGAATAAAAGTGATGGTATCGTACAGCCAGTGTTTACATGGCGGCATCACTCAAAGCAAACAAATGGCCTTGAGCAACTGTCCAGCACTGACCATTTGCTCTCAGATGGAGGTATAGATGTACATTCACAAACCCAGAGGAGGCTTTTTTGAGGCACTGTGCTTAGGCAGAATCCTCTTTGGAATCTGGTATGGGAACATCAGAGAAGATGAAAACATGTTTTCCAGCATGGCTCAGAATGTCCTCTACAACTTTCTTGGGGAGTGCTGCAGAGGAGGCACCAGTTGCATCTTCTGGATCATTTACCAAAAGGTTTGGGAAGCACTATGGAGGACATGCCACTTGCCCCTTTGGGCCATTCATTGCCTCCTTTAGCCTCTTTTATCCTCTGCGGATCTTGCTAAAAGCTTTGCTCTTCACTTTTATTTTGTGAAGCAGCTTTGAGGTTGAACCAACATTGAAGGGAAGCGCTTGCTAGATTTCCACAGCCTTAGAGGGAAGCATTTCTTACAAACATTTTCTGAAACTTGGTGCCCATCCAGATTAGCTTAGCTCTTCTTACAACTACTTATATGGAGTAGTTCCAAATTTAAGACCAGAGCCCAAATTTACATTCTGTGTAGAAAAAGAAATCAATGAGATTCTTAACTTCCTAGCTATTAGTGATGTCATCCTACAATTTCAGGAATAAGTCAACTGTTAATCCAGAAAGAGCATCTTCCTTAATAGGAATAGTGAAGGCATTCCCAGCCTATTGCCTGACAAATGTTTTGGATTACAAATCTTATAAAACTTCAGTAAACAGAAAAATTGGTCTAGGAGTTGAGAAAGAAGCATTGCTCCAAACTAGCACCTGAGCTAGATTTCCCATAGCTATCACTTTCTGGTAAATCCAACTGACACAGAATTGCTACTTAAGTTATTTTACAGATTTGTTTCCTTCTTTTTATCAAGCAGGTAAAAACAATAGGGAAAACATACTGTGGTCACTGGCCCCTAAAATCTCTCCTTTTATGACTTCAGCAAGTCATGTGGACCTTTACAGTCTTAAAATGAAGCACTGTAAGAAAGAAGCAAGTGATGAACTCATTCTCTTTGAGGTCAAGTGAGAATGTTTTCCAAGAAATTAGAAGTACTTGGCAGAATTCCCACAATGCAGAGAAGCCATGTAATAAATTCCTTCCTTGGCATGTACTGTTTTATCTCTCTGTCCTTCCTCTAGCCTCTAATTCTGATCACTCAGCTTGTCCCCAGGAACTCTATTATTGCAAGATCCCTATAGCTTTCACTGCTACTGTGGGGAAAGGGTCAGATCAGAACTTAACTTCCAACTTACCATAAACCCAGGCTACAGCAATGCATTCAAAGAATGCGACCCACAAAAGGCATACACCACTAGCTGCATAGTAGTCAAAGAGTTGAAACACATACATGCCACCCTAAAAATGACAAAAGGATAGAAAAAAGGAACCTTGATTGATATTAATACACCAACACAAAGACACACCCATAACACACATTGTGAAAAACAAAGGGACTTTCACGTCTCTAACTCATTTTTCACAAAATTTCCTGCCAGCAAATACAACTGCCAGTCAACACTTTGGGCATTATAAGTATATACTCATGTGTTTCCTAAAACCTACACTCATTCCTTATTCTAGAAGGCCTTTTGAAAGAGTCAATGGTGGAATAAAATTAAGCCACTAACACTATTCCGATACTGCTGTTTAAACTATGTTGTTTTAGGGAGACATTTATAGAAACGTGATAGAAGGAAGGAATTGAGTCTGGAAGACAACTGAGTCTTGAATGAGAATATAATACTAAGGTAAAACTTACCAAGGAGCTACCTAATATACGGGATAATGGATTTCTTTTCCTACAGCATGGTATTTTCTTTCATGCATGGCATTTTCTAGAATATTGCTATTACATTCTGAATATGAGATAGATTGGAATCTGGACATTATTTTCCACACATTTTATGTTTAACTAGCTTCATTTCATGTCTATCTATAGCACAAAAGAATGTAGCATATTGCATAGTTGAATATCGTCTTGCAGAAATACAATACTTCATAATAGCAGGAGTGATACTACGAAGCTTGAATGGTCATGGGCTTACATTGGCACATGTGCTAAACTTAGAAGATGTTAGTACAAAGGGGCGTAAATGCCTTTGCAGAGTAATTCTTTGAAGAATTCTTTCTCTCTTAGGGCTACCTGTTCATCTGGGCAGAAGCTCTCTAGGTTTTTCAGGCAGAATATGTCTTTCACAACACCTGATCATTGTAAATAAAGAAGACAAGGAGCATCTCCTGGGAGCTTCTCCATGCAAAGCACCTGCTTTACCATTAAACTAGGATGACTCCTTCTTGCACTGTGACTTCCTTGAATAGTTCAATACTTAAAAAGAAGAAGAAAAGCAACCCTGAGCTATATCTGCCAGTTACTTACTTCAGTCACCATAGATAGTCCCAGAAGATAGCTGAGGAAACATACTATAGCAATGAAGATTTCCCGTCGGTAACCCTTCCTTAGGAAGGATGGGTACAGATCAACTAACGATGTGATCTGTCCTTCAACTTCAACAAACTGTAGGGGAGAATAAAAAATAAGTGGGCGAATGCAATGTATTATTTTATTCTTTTGCAAAAACATTTCCCTTGTAAAGAGAGTTGTTGTTCACCATTGATATACGTAGCACTGTATATAATGTTTCAATATTCAATATGGCAGCATACAGCTGACACTAAACTCTTAGTAGGTTTATTGATTTTCTCTTCGCCTCCCATTTATAAAAATAAGCCAATCCTAATTGGATGTGAGTCATTACTGCATGCATAAAGCTTATGAACAAAAGGAGAAAGAAGTTAGTAAAGAGGTAGTGCTGTTTGTGGACTCTCCAGAGCAGTGTTTCTCAACCTCAACAACTTTAAGCTGTGTAGACTTCAACTCCCAGAATTCTGGAGTTGAAGTCCACACAACATAATTCTGGGAGTTGAAGTCCGCGCAACATAAAGTTGCTAAGGTTGAGAAACAGTGCTCTGGAGTAAAACCAAGTAATTCTTGGAAGGAACCTGATAAACTGTTTTCCATGTAGTATCTGCATGAAGGTAGGTTTTCATAGTTTCTCAACAGTAAAGTGTTTCTGTTCTCTCATTTCCTTCTAGCATGAATCAGAACAGACCACAGAGTAAGAGACCTGTGAAAAGCTCCCTTATTTTCATCCAGCCCTTTGAACTGCAGATTCAAGAAAACTAATTTCCATTTTCCATGCTAAAAATGTAATATGAATCATGGTGAGAAGTTAAATGAAGGGAAAATCTTAGGGATACAATCACTGCATATGTATTTCCTTTGGAAGTCCAAACACACAGTAAAACATTAACATAAGATATCCTCTAGTTGTTCCATTCTTCTAATTAACTATAATATATATTTTGATAAAATAGAACAAACAGTTATATATTAATATAAAAGCAAAGCAGGATAGGCAACAAAAACAAAACTCATTATTAGAAAAATAAAATATAGTTCTAGGTAGAAGTATGGAATATGGGTGTTCAGAATGTTCGTACAATTATCTATGAATATATACACAAATACACATTCAAGCATACACATACACACACTACATACATTCCCATTTTTTAAAAAAATCTTCCTTTTTAAAATCTGTAAATTTTTTTAGTTTTTGTCTTGTTTTATGGTTTAGTTAAAAAGGTAAATTACCTTTATGAACTGGGAAAAAGAGGTTCGTGTGATTCTTTTTTTAGTAAATGTTCTGTTCATATTAGTAATTTAATTATGTTTGAATTACTATAGGACCAGAAACTTCAACTCATAATAAAACAGTAATATTGGCATATCATATCACAGCTTTCCAAGTTACACTGGTTCCCACCCAATTCTTGGGCTAAATTAAAGTATGTTGTTGTTGATGTCAATCTTAATAACTGGCATGAGGATAATCACTTGTTTTCCTGTCTCTCAGCCTGGACTAAAACAATCTTTGGTGTTCAAACTCCCAGGGGGGTGCTGGGAAAGTATTTTCAGAGGCTTCCTGGCTATGGAATGGCTGCCCATAGCTGGCATCTTCTGTAATTTTCAGCACAGGTAAATATCTTTCTATTTCCCAGACTTCTTTCCAGCCTGAAATTGGTTTTATTTTTTACTATTTTATACTGCTGTTGGCTGCTTATTATTCCTAAATTTATTGTATGTATTTTTATTATTGGGAAAGCTATTCTTCTTGTACGGCTGCTGCAAATACGGTTTAAACAATAATTTTTAATAATGTAAAAACAGTTATCACACAGTAATATAATCACAGCTGGGCTTAGAATATATAACATGAATTCCATATATGTTGTCATTCTTCTACCACAAACCATGGGCTTGGATTGTAATAAATCAACACTGTAGATCTAATGTGGACAATTTTTGTTCTTTCTTCTGCTGGTCCATGAACCATGAAGTTAGTATTTAATTTCTACCTATTGATTGTTCTTACTAGGACAGTAATGTTTTCTGGCATTATTAAACCATGAAGATTCATCACTTGGTAATTACATTAAATGATGAACCATGTGTTAAAAATCCATAATAAATCACACTTTACAGAGAGGGGTTCAGTATCACACTGAAACCAACTTTTTTTTCAAAAAAGTCACCAAATGTCACATAGAGAAAGCTCTAAAATGCTTCTGTGCACTGGCATCCTTCCATGACTTGCATTTTTGCCTATTACTTTATTAAAGTGGACATATTTGTGGAGTCCTTGGGGTTCTCTGAGCTTGGTTCTTTTCTTGGAAACGTTTCATTACACAGCTAGGTAACATCTTCAATGCTAAAATGGGTTGGGGTTTGCTCTCTATTTATATACTGTGGCATGCCTTACCAGTGCTGGTGGGGGTGGGGGGTTTGCTTTGCTCCTCTGGTAGTTCCTTGATTAGCATATGTTTAGTGCTGGATTGTGTGCCCGGTGGTAACCTTTGCTTATCTAGGTGATGACTGCTGGTGAGGCGATCTTCTGGTCTTTTGTCTCTTTTGAATAGTACTAGATGCTGTTTATCTCTATGTGTCTGCAAGCTTCCAACAATTCTCTTGCATTTTTGGATTTAACTTGGTCTAAAGTGCTGACATTATCCCAGATAAAGCTATGGTTGAGTTTGTCCATGTGTTGTGAGATTAAGGGATTTTCATCATGTCTTCTGACTGCTAGTTGGTGCTCGTGGATGCGCTCTGCTAGTCTTCTGCCTGTGTGTCCTACATAGTGTTTGTTACAGTCCTTACACTGTATGTTGCAGATGACTCCTGTTTCCCATATTTCCTTAATGTACTTAATTTCATATTTGTTTCAATAAACAGCCAACATTCTGTATGGCTTTGTATGGCTTCTTAACAATCCCTTAGAAGTCTGGGGTCTTATATACAGAAGTTCTGATTTTCTTTTTCTCCTGCTATGTAACTATATCCAGTTTGCTCCTAAGCTGCTGTAGCATTCCAAAATCCAGCTTGACAGGGCTCCAAAAGCAAACAAAACATTAAGTGCTCCAATTAGCTTTAATTATTTGACACAGTGAGAAATGACTGAACATTACCAGGCAACCTTTAATTTACATAAGTACTTGGTTGCAGAACCACAGCTCTGAGGATGTCTGAACATTCAATTTGGAAGTGATTAAAAGTCACTCACTGGCATTCAAAGATTAAGCCCTCAAGAGCCATTTAGAACAAATGGAATGCTTTGCCAATTTATGAGATCAAGTAAATAACAACCAGAGGGAAAATTCCTCTAATCTCCACTCATATGAGGTTTTGAATTCAGTAAAGTTTCTGTCCCAGGCTAGTAGATTAATTCAACATTATAACTATTTTCCCAAATAACAATTAGGAATTTGTTAGCTTAAAATCTTAAACCATTTCAAAGAAGCCCTCTCTAAAATCCTAGGACAGCTGTGTGACTTGTAATAGTCTAGAGATTATTAACAGTTTTCTTTGTGTCACATAAAAAGGCCTTGAGAAGGAAAGAAAACAAGGTCTCCCTTGCTCAGTCTCCCAGAAGGCAAATTGCTGTGGATAGACAAAAATAACCAGTGTCTATGGGAACCACTGATTCACATATATCAAGGCCTAGGGGTTTGAATAAATGACTGTAAGAGGAAAAAGCAACCCTGGGCCACCTCCATTCATTTTTATTCTGTTTTATTCCCACTCTGTTAGATGCATCTGTATGTTCTGAGAAGCAAAATACATAAAGGCAGGAATGGACCAAGGAAGTGACAAGAGTATGAGAAATAAGCATGATAAGACTGGAGAAGTGGCAGAGGAAATTATATATGTCTGTACGTTTCAATGTAAGTGGCCCTTTTCAGTCTTAATCTAACGCAGTGATGGCGAACCTTTGGGCTTGGAGTGTCAAAAGTTCAAAAAATGCCTAACTTGACTCTGTTGGCATGTCACACACACCCCGCCCCCAAACAGAAGAGAAACAATTATTTACATATTCATTTATCTCAAAAAAATAAGTCCAATCACGTGTTGTGCTATATATATTTATGTGTGGTGTTATATATATTTATGGTTTTAATGTTTTTTGTAAGTCACCCAGAGTCCCCCATTGTGGGGAGATGGGCGGGGGAGAAATTTGATAAATTAATAAATAAATAAATAAATAATAATAATAATATTATATAAAGAAACATCAAATAATTACAAAAATGAAATACAAGTAAAACAAAGTGAGCTTCTTTGGTAACTCAAACAGGGAGAAGAGTTGTTGTCGGGTGTTGGTGAACACTGGCGTGTCACCCAAAACGTCATGGAGCGTCACATGTGTCAGAGGTTCACCATCACTGATTTAACCTGTATAGAGACTGGACTACTGGCATATTCTAACACTGGGGTTGGGTGCTTTTAAAAAAAAAAAATACAGTAATGAAAGCTATTTATATGGCACTGGAAGGCAGCAAATCCAGCAGGTTCCCATGTCTCTGTGAGCTCCTCCCTTGGAACCTGTTGGATTTGCTACCTTCTGTGACTTTTTATAATGTTTAGATTCTTTTAATCATATCCGTATGAATTAATATGAATGAGTACACACGCATATGAGAAAGCAAGCAAGCTGGCATGCTCAAAATAAGTGTCAGTCCCCAGTATCATCTTTC